TATCAGTCTGTCCCTGATATTTTTCCTGGAGAGAAGTGGTTTCCTCGCTTCCCTTTTTGACACCAGGCCATCCTCCAAAAGTATTTGCCTCACTGTGCGTGCAGATGCACTCACACCTGCCTGCTGCCATTCCTGAGCAAGCTCTGCACTGGTGGTGCCCCGATTCCGCAGTTGAATCAACTTTAGGAGACGGTCCTGGCGCTTGCTGGACGTTCTTGGGTGCCCTGAAGCCTTCTTCACAACAATTGAACCTCTTTCCTTGAAGTTCTTGATGATCCGATAAATTGTTGATTTAGGTGCAATCTTACTAGCATCAATATCCTTGCCTGTGAAGCCCTTTTTGTGCAAAGCAATGATGACGGCACGTGTTTCCTTGCAGGTAACCATGGTTAACAGAGGAAGAACAATGATTTCAAGCACCACCCTCCTTTTAAAGCTTCCAGTCTGTTATTGTAACTCAATCAGCATGACAGAGTGATCTCCAGCCTTGTCCTCGTCAACACTCTCACTTGTGTTAACTAGAGAATCACTGACATGATGTCAGCTGGTCCTTTTGTGGCAGGGCTGAAATGCAGTGGAAATGTTTTTTGGGGATTAAGTTCATTTTCATGGCAAAGAGGGACTTTGCAATTAATTGCAATTCATCTGATCACTCTTCTTTAGGGCCTTTCAGAACAGGTGTATATATACTGAGATCTTCTGACAGATCATGTGACACTTAGATTGCATACAGGTGGACTTAATTAGTTAAATAATGTGACTTCTGAAGGTACAGTGGGGAGAACAAGTATTTGATACACTGCCGATTTTGCATGTTTTCCTACTTACAAAGCATGTAGAGGTCTGTAATTTTTATCATAGGTACACTTCAACTGTGAGAGACGGAATCTAAAACAAAAATCCAGAAAATCACATTGTATGATTTTTAAATAATGAATTTGCATTTTATTGCATGACATAAGTATTTGATCACCTACCAACCAGTAAGAATTCCGGCTCTCACAGACCTGTTAGTTTTTCTTTAAGAAGCCCTCCTGTTCTCCACTCATTGCCTGTATTAACTGCACCTGTTTGAACTCGTTACCTGTATAAAAGACACCTGTCCACACACTCAATCAAACATACTCCAACCTCTCCACAATGGCCAAGACCAGAGAGCTGTGTAAGGACATCGGTGATACAATTATCCCCAAGGCTGGGATTGGCTACAGGACAATAGGCAAGCAGCTTGGTGAGAAGGCAACAACTGTTGGCGCAATTATTAGAAAATGGAAGAAGTTCAAGATGACGGTCAATCATCCTCGGTCTGGGGCTCCATGCAAGATCTCACCTCATGGGGCATCAATGATCATGAGGAAGGTGAGGGATCAGCCCAGAACTACACGGCAGGACCTGGTCAATGACCTGAAGAGAGCTGGGACCACAGTCTCAAAGAAAACCATTAGTAACACACTACGCCATCATGGATTAAAATCCTGCAGCGCACGCAAGGTCCCCCTGCTCAAGCCAGCGCATGTCCAGGCCCGTCTGAAGTTTGCCAATGACCATCTGGATGATCCAGAGGAGGAATGGGAGAAGGTCATGTGGTCTGATGAGACAAAAATATAGCTTTTTGGTCTAAACTCCACTCGCCGTGTTTGGAGGAAGAAGAAGGATGAGTACAACCCCAAGAACACCATCCCAACCGTGAAGCATGGAGTTAGAAACATCATTCTTTGGGGATGCTTTTCTGCAAAGGGGACAGGACGACTGCACCGTATTGAGGGGAGGATGGATGGGGCCATGTATTGCGAGATCTTGGCCAACAACCTCCTTCCCTCAGTAAGAGCATTGAAGATGGGTCTTGGCTGGGTCTTCCAGCATGACAACGACCCGAAACACACAGCCAGGGCAACTAAGGAGTGGCTCCGTAAGAAGCATATCAAGGTCCTGGAGTGGCCTAGCCAGTCTCCAGACCTGAACCCAATAGAAAATCTTTAGAGGGAGCTGTCTTGTATTGCCTGTCTGTATTGCCCAGCGACAGCCCCGAAACCTGAAGGATCTGGAGAAGGTCTGTATGGAGGAGTGGGCCAAAATCCCTGCTGCAGTGTGTGCAAACCTGGTCAAGACCTACAGGAAACGTATGATCTCTGTAATTGCAAACAAAGGTTTCTGTACCAAATATTAAGTTCTGCTTTTCTGATGTATCAAATACTTATGTCATGCAATAAAATGCAAATTAATTACTTAAAAACAAGTAATTTTTTTCACTTCACCAATTTGGACTATTTTGTGTATGTCCATTACGTTAAATCCAAATAAAAATCAATTTAAATTACAGGTTGTAATGCAACAAAATAGGAAAGACGCCAAGGGGGATGAATACTTTTGCAAGGCACTGTACAGTAGCCTAGCTATTGAGGGACTGAGAAACCTGGAGAAGAGTACACTTTGAATAAATGTGTTATCCCGAAATATTCCTCAATTGTCAGTTCTGATCCATTCTTAGAATTTTGTGAATGTTGTCTTGTTTCGTTTGGCCTACTGGCTCTCCACACCCAGGCAGAGATCTAACAAAGATCCAAGTCACCCAGGCAGAGATCTAACAAAGATCCAAGTCACCCAGGCAGAGATCTAACAAAGATCCAAGTCACCCAGGCAGAGATCTAACAAAGATCCAAGTCACCCAGGCAGAGATCTAACAAAGATCCAAGTCACCCAGGCAGAGATCTAACAAAGATCCAAGTCACCCAGGCAGAGATCTATCAAAGATCCAAGTCACCCAGGCAGAGATCTAACAAAGATCCAAGTCACCCAGGCAGAGATCTAACAAAGATCCAAGTCACCCAGGCAGAGATCTAACAAAGATCCAGGTCTCGTAGGCCGGCCTTTGGCGCTAGCGCTTTTAGTGTGGACTCTTCACTTAGATAGACCAACCGTGTTGAATTTTTATTGATTTTCCTCCTGCGTCCTCCAACTTCCTTCCACCGCTCTTCTTTGAAAGCAGCTGGATGAATTGACATACAGCTAGGCTATTGCAATCCAGTCATAGTTACGAACGCCTCATGTCTACAATGGGATTTGCACAGTCTCTACTTCACTCGTAGTGTTTTTGGGGCTACGACTCTGCAGACACCACACTCTGACACACTAGTGGAGTTGTTCAGGGTTGGATTTGACCTCTGAATGCCCACCATTTTATCTGGAGTTATATTATCAGGACTACAGGAATTCATTATTTCTGGATTGGCGCGTTTGCCCCCAGCAACCTTACTTTTTAGCAGCACAGGGTATTTGTTCAAGGGGAAAAACACGCCATACTTGTTCAGCATGTTCCTTCAGGCGTGCTCATTCCAAACTGCTCCATGACCCCTGAACAGAGGCTACATATACTAATAATAATAATAATATGCCATTTAGCAGACGCTTTTATCCAAAGCGACTTACAGTCATGCGTGCATACATTTTTGTGTATGGGTGTTCCCGGGGATCGAACCCACTACCCTGGCGTTACAAGCGCCGTGCTCTACCAGCTGAGCTACAGAGGACCACATACAGCACAGCAAAGAGACCCGGCTTAGCATATCAACTTTCCCCCCCAAATATACACACACACACACAGGGTGGCATCCCTCCAGACTAGTGCCCAGTCCGTGTCAGGATGGTGTGCCCGCACTTCTCTTTGTCACGAGTACCCCTCATCCTTAACCCTACACTGGATCTCTCCCATGGGCCCTCAACAGGATGCGGTGTGCACTGACCCTGGAAAAGAGGCTGAGATGGTGTCTTGTACGTTAGTGGGTTGCCTATACTCACTATCACTACCTTCAAACCCCAGGCACTTCCTCTATCCACACACTACCTTCAAACCCCAGGCACTTTCTCTATCCTCACACTGCCCCAGCTCAAACCCCAGGCACTTTCTCTATCCACACACTACCTTCAAACCCCAGGCACTTTCTCTATCCACACACTACCTTCAAACCCCAGGCACTTCCTCTATCCACACACTACCTTCAAATCCCAGGCACTTCCTCTATCCTCACACTGCCCCAGCTCAAACCCCAGGCACTTTCTCTATCCACACACTACCTTCAAACCCCAGGCACTTCCTCTATCCACACACTACCTTCAAACCCCAGGCACTTTCTCTATCCTCACACTACCTTCAAACCCCAGGCACTTTCTCTATCCTCACACTACCTTCAAACCCCAGGCACTTTCTCTATTTCTCATTCCTTGCCAGCTGGGGTTGGTAGTTCTCCATCAAAACTCATTTTTGGAAGAGGAGTTTCCACATAAGGAACAGTCAAGGCTGAGAACAAACCCTCTCTGTGGTAGAGGAAATATCATTGTAGAGGCATGCTGACCTCTGGTCTGACAGGGAATTGACATTTTTCACAGGGTATCGAAGTATATACACTTCCGTCTTAACTCTAATCATGCATCATTGGGATGGCAGTGGCTTCCAAACCGGCCCCCTGTGGACCACATCATTTCTGTTGCCATGGAGAAGCCCAAGACTGTGTTGCTTTGTGTGAGGGCAGCTTAACTTGCAGTTTATTTCTCTATCAAGTTCACGGGCACTGATGGATTGGCCGGGTACAGGCGTTCTAAGGAGTACTTTCCAGGCTATGGGTTAAATGGAGAAGATTACTTGCATGACTAGTAGTGTAGCACCCCCGATATCCCACAGGTTCAAATATCCTCAGAGTTACTGAGTGGTGGATCCCTCAAAACCATTTGCATAATCATTTTTTTTTATGTTTAATGTCACTGTTTTTAGTAGTGTGTTCACTTCTTTTCAAGTGTTATGTTTTGACAACAGGTGTCTTTTTCAGTCTGAAGTGGAAAACTGCTATTGTCTGTCCCCAAGCTTGACCCAACCTCATGTCAATCAGCCAGTAAAATCATTTTATTTGCCAGTATCAACAGATTCATCACCATTTCCCTCAATGTTAATTGGTACACACACACACACACACACACACACACACACACACACACACACACACACACTAGCGATGGCCCTCTAAATCTATATCCCTCTCAACCAACAGGTTTCCCAAACAACAGATGGCCTTGACGCTGACTTGTGGAAAGACGGCCTGTTCAAATCCAAGGTGACGCGCTACCTCTGTTTCACCAGGGTGTTCTCTAAAGAAAACGTAAGTGATCAAAATCAGTGTACCCGAATGATCCCACACTGCCACTCTAATACCCACTGTGATGAAAGTATGGCTCGGAAACCAAGGTTTATCTACTGCTGTAGGGAGGAGGAACCTGTTTCTCAACACAACAATACAATAAGCCTCTCTAGTCAGAAACTCAAACAGCATGCATGACTCACTCTCTGTGATGGGAAAGAGACCGAAATATCTCATTTGAAGCACCAGCTTGTTTTCTCTGCAGCTTTTTTGTTGCATATTTTATGTTACCTGACAGAAACATATTTTGCAATGAGTCACCAGTTTCTTCGCTTAGGTTAATAAGCCAAAACAAATTAAGGATTCGATTTATATAGCACTTTACCAGGTGCTATAATATATGCCAAGCAGCTTTTATCCAAAGCGACGTACATTTTGTAAAAAAAAATTAGTCATTTAGCAGACGCTCTTATCCAGAGCGACTTACAGTTAGTGAGTGCATACATTTTTCATACTGGCCACCCGTGGGAACCATGCGTGCATACATTTTACGTATGGGTGGCCCCGGGTATCGAACCCACAACCCCGGCATTGCGAGCGCCACGCTCTACCAACTGATCCATACAGGACCACTATGGTTTGGAAACTTGCCTAATAGTAATTAGGTAATAACAAAATAATAATACAAATAAATAAATATCAGGGCCTCCTGAGTGGCTCAGCGGTCTAAGGCACTGCATCGCAGAGCTTGAGGCGTCACTACAGACCCGGGTTCGTTCCCAGGCTGTGTCACAACCGGCCGTGACCGGGATTCCCATAGGGCACCGAACAATTGGCACAGCGTCGTCCGGGTTAGGGGAAGGTTTGGCCGGGGGGGGCTTTACTTGGCTCATCGCGCTCTAGCGACTCCTTGTGGCTGGCCGGGCACCTGCAGGCTGCCTTCGGTCGTCAGTTGAACGGTGTTTACTCCGACACATTGGTGCGACTGGCTTCCCGGTTAAGCTGGTGGGTGTTAAGGAGCGCGGTTTTGGCGGGTCATGTTTCGGAAGACGCATGACTCGACCTTTGCCTCTCTCGAGCCTGTTGGGGACTTGCAGCGATGAGACAAGATTGCAATTGGATATCACGAAATTGTGGAGAAAAAGGGGGTAAAAAATGAATGAATAAATATATATCAGAATCAACTAGTCTTGAATACAGTTTGTCTTCTTAAAATTGTATAGCCAACGTATATCCACTGTCAGAGAGTAGAATAACACACTACATACAGTTTGGGTAATAGGCCAACTAACTTCACCTCAGGTGGACTAACAAAGGCGATAGCTACATCAGTGAAAATCTACCCGGGTGGATCCTGGAACTGCGACACCGATGACCTTATTTAGGCCTAGACCCTGTCGGTAGAGAAAGTTTTGACCATGAGCCTCTTTTGCACAGCTCCATGGAGAACATTGGACAGAGGTCCTTAGGCGTAGGAGTGTTCTCTGACAAGCGTTCTCACAAAGGCTTTCCCAAACAAACATCTCCGAGTTATAAAATATTTTCTCCGTAGCCCCAGGAATGTTATTCTGAAATGATTCCAGTGCTCCATTTTGATATTTTCCCTTGCTCTGGATGTTTAAACAACTCCCCTGTTGTTTTGCACAGGCTCTATAGCGCCGTTACCAAATCAGGAATTCTCTTCTCATACTGATGTTATTTGTTGTAGGATAATCGTTTTGAGATGGTGGCTGCTTTGTGAGATCTGTTTAAGTAAGTCTAGTTTGAACAATTGCTATACGAACTTGGCCTGTAGAGTTTCTGTGAAAATAATAGGTCTGTAACATACGACTCGGTCTGATAACTTGACAAGCTGAGATGGGGCCAGTTGATACACATCCTGGCCAAGGTAGAAACCAATGCACTGATGATATTCATCCTTGACAGAAACACAATTGAAGTCCGAAACAAATAGCCACGTAGCAAACATTTACTCCCGCCCCCCCAACCCCCCTCCCATGTCTGTCCATCAAGCTCAGACTAACTTGGGTTTAGTTTCCTTCCATTTTGAGGTGTGATCGGATGTGACCGTTCCATCAACGGAAGCTATTTTGTCTGCCAATCAATACGGCCCGCAGCGTAATTATCTGTGACAAAAACAGATACTGTGAAATTAGTCCGCAAAGTGTGCGACAGAACCACAGGAGTTAGTGATTTATCACCCTCCGTGGAGGTAGGGACACATCCTCTCTGTCAGGGAAGAACTCCCTTTTTTCCACTGCTAACACTTTTTGCACATGCACAAACATTCTGCCGAGTTCCGCCATTGTCAAGGCTTTGGAATGAACTGTTGACTGATCATTAGCTAACGTGGATGTGGTTTGTCCCTCTGGTTCTCTCTCTCGCTCTCTCTCTCGCTCTCTCGCTCTTGCTTTCTCTGTCTCTTGCTTTCTCTGTCTCTGTCTGCAGAGTCATTTAGGAAATGTGCTGGTGGACATGAAGCTCATCGACATCAAGGACACTCTGCCCGTAGGTTTTATTCCCATCCAGGAGACTGTGGACACACGTAAGCACTGACCTTCTCCTCTCATATCCTAATTCTCTCCTTCTTTCCCCCCGGGTCTATTTTAAACCTCTCTGATTAACCATAAAGGTCAGAGTTCGTTAAGCTTAGTTAGTGCTACATGACAGAATGTGATTTTTAAAAAAGTTTTATTTGCCTGCAAATGTGAAAGGCATATCAGATGTTTTTATGAGTCAGGCTTTGTGGACTCTGGGAGATAGGATGCTGGTCACCCTCACACGGTTAGTTTATCATTTATAGACCGTAACATGATCAGAGGCCTTTTACAGTGCACTGACTCTCTTTGTCTCTCTCTTTCCCTTTTGTCTCTCTCTCTCTCTCTCTCTCTCTCTCTCTCTCTCTCTCTCTCTCTCTCTCTCTCTCTCTCTCTCTCTCTCTCTCTCTCTCTCTCTCTCTCTCTCTCTCTCTCTCTCTCTCTCTCTCTCTCTCTCTCTGTCTCTCTTTGTCTCGATCTCCCTCTCTCTCTTTCCCCTTTTCTCTGTATTGTCCCTTCTCTCTGTCTGTCACCCTCCTGCTTCCTCTTTATCTGTCTATCTGTCTCTTTTTTGTCTGTCTGTCTGTCTGTCTGCTGGCCACACACAGAGGAGCAGGCCTTCCGGAAGAGGAGGCTGTGTATCAAGTTCATCCCACGGGACTCCACAGAGGCAGCCATCTGTGACATCAGAATCCTGGGCAGGTCCAAGCAGGCCCCACCGCAGTACACCTTCATAGGGTTAGCAGCTGTGATGTTATTAACATGCCCTGCCTTCAGCTATCATAGAGCCAGATGATGTAGAGTTAGGGTTTTTCCTGAATAAGCCAGCCACCAGGTAAATGGGTTTAGTTTACTTGTAAAATGGGAGGGAAATTGGGTTTTCACACAATTTTGAGTTCCCTCAACGGGTTATGAATTGAGGTGAACAGGCACCATTTTGAGTGGTCAGAATGTTGTACTACTAGTCAGCCTATGTTTTCCAGGTGGTGTTGGCTGTATGCAGGAAATGGATGATGATGCTAAAAGAGGCTGTGGTTGTTTTCCAGAGAGCTCAACAACATGGGGATCTGGTATCGCATGGGGAAGGTCCCGCGTGCCCAGGAATCTTCGCCGACCCCAGCCACCAATAACATCCAGAACATCAACTCGACGGCTAACACCACCCCAACCCCAGCAGCCCCCCTGCCCAAGTATGCTACATTTACCATATTATCTTATTCAAGACCTCTTGTGTGTCTGTGCCTGTGTGTGTGTTCCACTTCCCCATAATGCAGAGTTGGTTCTATTTCAAGTCTGCAGCCAAGTAAGTTATAGAACAGGGACGTTGTGTTGAAACTGCATTTACTCAAGAGAATGGAAATATGAACTGTCTATAGCCTGCAACTAAAGAGGAAAGAAAAGGGAACTGTGGCTATATACTTCTGCAAGAGAAGGAGATTAACTCTCATCTGCAGCTGGAATAGTGAGCTTTCCTCACATCCGAGGTGTACACAGAAGATATTGTCCGGACTGCCATCAGGACTTGTCTCTGTGGTTTTCTCTAACAATGGTTAACCACTAGAGTTTAGCTCCTCTCTGAGGGTGGTTTAGTGTCGACGTCAAACCCTCAAAGAGAAAAAGGGCCAACGTTGTTAGCAGTGCTGAAATGTCTGAACAAGGTCCTAATGGTTTAGATGGAAGCTGTTATTGTAACAAAGCTCTGACATTTTAATGAAAACAATGTATACTTGTAATCCTAAAACACTTTTTTTGTTATGCCTTCCACTAAAGTTAATCATGAAAATGGCCCTTAATAGTTTACTACAAGTTTTTGCTTGTTGACAACGATGGCTTTGCACTTTGTTGTCGTGTGTTTTGTGAGTACCGTATTATTATACCAATAAAGTTTTACTATCAATTTGATATCAACACCATAGTTTGGCAGTGAGATTTAAACACTGTAACAAAAATGTATGCACGCATGACTGTAAGTCGCTTTGGATAAAAGCGTCTGCTAAATGGCATATTATTATTATTATTATTATTATTATTATTATTATTATTATAATACTAGGTGATGCTATATAAAGGGACGTTCTGCTAAATCCCCCTCAGGAAAAGCATTACGCCATGATCCCACGGTCAGTGCTATCCGGGACCCTTGGACGACCCTAACCTTAACCATAACTCTTATGTAACCTTAACCACAGGAGCGCATGGGGACCATTGGGATTCCTCTCACACTGTTGCTCTCAGACAATGTTCCACTGGACTAACAACGCTACCCAAGCCAGGCTAGTGTGTAACTCCACTGGACTGGCAACTTGTTTACTGTTCTAATTATGTTGGTAACCAGTTTATAATACCAATAAGGTACCTCAGGGGTTTGTGTATGTGGCCAATATACCACGGCTAAGGGCTGTATCCAGGTACTCCGTGTTGCATAAGAACAGCCCTTAGCCATGATGTATTGGTGAAATACCACACCTCCTCTGGCGTTATTTCTTAAGTATACTTTCCCTGTGAAAGAGAAATTAAATGCATTTTTGTGCAATGTGTTTCGGCAATTTGAAAGAGACAGGAAGCTGCTTCCTCTCCCAGAGGCAGTTCCCCTTTTCTTTCAGCCCTCTTCTCTCGTTCGTTCTGAACCAGTTCAAACTCCAAACAAAAGTAACAGTTTATATCATTCCTTTCTATTCCTTTTTAAACCTCTGAAATCTTTTTTTTTTTTTTTTACATTTAGCTCTACATTAAATTGCTTCACCAATCATGCAGTGTGGATAGAGCAGCTTGCTATGGAGCGGGCAAGCTATAGCTCAGCAAGTTGTTTACGTACGTGATGGAAAGACAAGTGTCAGGTGCTAGATACAACTGAAATGTTACAGGTGGGGGGAGAGCGAGAGAGGGTGGAGGAGCGTTGGGCATCTTGTGATGACATGCATTACACGAATTACGCTCACAGAATTATACCTACGGGAAGTGCGGCTTCTATGGAGGAACTTTGAATGTCTTTTGAACTTCAGAGTTGGCTTAACGTTGGACCAGAGAAGCTAGCTAGTCAACAAGCTTGTGTGTGCAGAGCGTCACCAGAATTTAAAAACACGTCTTACCTTTTTTTGTAGTTAGCTATTAAATCCAATGTGATCTAAAGTATCCCTAACTAGCATTGAAAAAGTTAATCCATTCTTCTTTAATTAAAATTCTCCCTCCCTATCTTCTGAATCACGCTTGTAACGTCAGTAGGCTACAGCTATGTTTCGGAGCGGGAGTGGCAGGTAGCCTACTCGTGCACACACACTGGCAGAGATTTTCAGCTGGCAGGCAGATGACAGAAGGAGGGCTTTGCATAGGCGCTTTGTTGCATTTTTTTGTGGGACAAAAGAAAAATCCCAGAATGTAAAAGAACGTTATTCACCGGTTCCCATGCTTTTAAAAATAACATTTCTGTTAAGGAACAGTATAGATCACTTTCGTTCCTGGTTCTGATTCTGTTCCTTGAGGAATGTATTTATTTTCTGGGTTTCGGTTCTGTTCCCTAAACCGGTTCCAACCCCTGTTGCTCTCACTGTCCCCGCCCTCCACAGCTTTCTATGAGACATGGCACTTTTTAGCTATTCAATTTGTTTATTTTGATGAATATGCTTTCATTTTGTAAGTGAATTTCATCACTTTTTCACAAGTCTTACTTTGTATGGATTGTCCATGGTTTACAGCGTTCTCATATTGCCCTTTCATACACAGAAATCCCACTAATTGACCTACTTATTTTTACCTGCTTGTTGGTATATTAAAGACCTAGTCATGATTCCTGCATTTTCACTGACCCTGTAACCAAAATACAGGGATCGAGTCTGTGTGAATGGTTCTCTGCTTTTTTGAAAAGCAGGTCAATTCATCAAAGACTTCCATTGTTCAACACCTCCCTCATTTGAAATAGAAACAGCCCCCATTGTTTAATAACAACCCCCACCCCTCCCAATTTGCCAGTTACCCACTGATATGTATAAAAGGGGTAAACCTGCAAGAAAGTGGTATATAAGGGGCTGTTTGAAACGGGGTCATATAAACATTGCCATATATATATATATATATATATATATATATATATATATATATATATATATATATATATATATATATATATATATATATATATATACACTCAGCAAAAAAAGAAACGTCCTCTCACTGTCAACTGCGTTTATTTTCAGCAAACTTAACATGTGTAAATATTTGTATGAACATAACAAGATTCAACAACTGAGACATAAACTGAACAAGTTCCACAGACATGTGACTAACAGAAATTGAATAATGTGTCCCTGAACAAAGGGGGGAGGGGGGGGGGGTCAAAATCAAAAGTAACAGTCAGTATCTGGTGTGGCCACCAGCTGCATGAAGTACTGCAGTCTAAAGCCTTGGAGCTTCTCTGAGCTGTGGCTGATTTCTGAGTTTAATAAATGCAGTTTTTCATTTGAGAAAAGTTTGTTGAGGAAAGTTTGACAGCAACAGAAGGACCATGGGTGCCTGTAGTGTAGCATCTTAGCCACCAGGGAAGTAGGCCGGTTCTCCTTGCAGTGCCTGTGAAGTGGCTCTGCAGCAGGGTTCTCGAACCCTGTTCCTGGGGAGCTACCGTAACGTCCAGGGCCCGGTTTCCAAAAGGCATCTTAAGGCTAAGTTCATCGTAAGAACCTTTTGCTGTTTACCAAAACCACCGTTACTAAAGTTGCACTTGAAAACACTTATTTACCAACTGCCTCAGACCACTCGAACAACTAAGTGCGTCGTTAGATGCGTTGTTTACCTACATTTAATTTTTTTTAATTTTAGTCATTTTAGCAGACGCTCTTATCCAGAGCGACTTTCCCCGTGGGAAACGAACCCACAACCCTGGCGTTGCAAGCGCCACGCTCTACCAACTGAGCTACAGGGGACTGACACAGTGATCGGTGGTCACTTTATACACAGAAGATCTCCGCTAAACATAGAATCAATATGTTTATCTGGCTCTGTGACCACCGATGAAGTTGACTACAAATACAAAGTTGCCTTTTGCAATTGTTACAAACAAGTGAAGGAGAAAAAAAGATAAATAGCCTACAGTATAGACCTATATATAATTCAATAATATTGAAATCAATTTCTTGTTCATTCAATTGAGTTGTATTTTGCTAATTGTAGGCTACTGTCTGTCATTTTCCCCTCAATATATGTGTAACAACTTGTGCGATTTTAGTGCATCATTATAGGGTACGGCATTAGAATAAACTGCCTCAATATTTGCAGCCGTAGGTGATAATCTCTTTCTAGGAGCTGATCCAATGTCAGTATTGTGGAATAATTATAATGTCGAGGTAAGATTTGAATGGCAAAATCTGATCCGAGAGCAGTTCACTCAGTGTTTAGGGAAACACATGTTACATCTTCAGCCACTGTAGGAAAGATGCATCGTAAAAAACTCTTGTAAACCTAAATTCTATCGCTATCGGGAAACCGGGCCCTGTAGGTTTTCGCTCCAACCCTAATCTAGCACACCTGATTCTAATAATTAACCGGTTGATAAGCTGAATCAGGTTAGTTACAACTGGGGTTGGAGCAAAAACCTACAGGAGGGTAGCTCTCCAGGAACAGGGTTGGAGTTAACCTACAGGAGGGTATCTCTCCAGGAACAGGGTTGGAGTTAACCTACAGGAGGGTAGCTCTCCAGGAACAGGGTTGGAGCAAAAACCTACAGGAGGGTAGCTCTCCAGGAACAGGGTTGGAGACCCCTGCTCTACAGTATTCAAAAGCTTATCACTTGAATCAAAAGCGGATCTCCTGTTCTTGTTTCTGATTGACTCTAGACGCAACTCCTGAGTACGTTGTCGTTCTGGCCGAGAGAGTAGACCTCACAAAATCAGCTGATTTACTGTATTCATTTCTGGATGTTTGATGGTTGTTTGGTCAAGTGCGGCCGAAGGCAGGCATACGCAGAAAGAGCACCCAAACAATATCTGTCAAGTCAATCTGTGTTTGAAATATCACACTGCCATCGGAATCCTATCACAGACATAATTCCCCTCCACTTCCTCAGTCAACCTTTAGAGATGAGATGGAGAGGTGGTCTTCATTAAAGCTGTCCGTGGCCTAGATTGACGTCAACCTTTTTTTTTTTTTTTATCCCCGCTGTCCTGTCTGAGAGGAGCGTGGCCACACGCTGATGGAATTGATGAGGTTATAAGGTCGACCCCGTCATGGCAGAATAAGCCCGAGAACCAGACGTCTGTTTTGTAAATAGCACTGACTGTTGTGGGGCGTCGAGGAAGTCGCGCGTCTTCGTTTTGGTTTCAATCGCTTCGAGCTGATTTTTATCTGTAAGATCTCCGACATCAAAGTAATTTCAATATTCTTCTAGATTTCATAGTAAAAACATTCAATTTAGGACAGTTTAAAAAAAAGTTTAAACTAAATTGATGAAAGCTTTATTGGAGATTGAGAAGTTTCTTGTGGGCCATTCCCCTGGCTAGATTAAAATAGGTTTTATTTCCTGATGTGGAAGATTGTAGCTTGTACAAGATAATGAAGCATGGTACATGTAACATTCTGTATTTTTTTTATGACACATTGATTACTAAACATGGCTTTTTATTCTGTTTGTCCCCCACAGACATATATCCATGACACTCCCCGCCAGCTTCAAAAGGCAAACCACTACCAGACCAGACTATGAACACCAGAACTCCAGCCTGTACGCCATATCAGGTGAGCCACTGTCTACGTTTTTTTTTCCCCCATGTCCCAATAGCAAAATCTTTGGGAATATGCATATATTCAGTGTTTGTTTTTGTTTTTCCTTCTCAACCAATGCATAATATTCAGTGAAATGTAGTGTTATCCCTCAGTTTACTCTGAAGTCACTGTGGTAGCTGGCCTCAAGGAGACTAGGGGATTTGGATGTAGTGAGACGGATAAGTTACGGATGCAAAGAGAGACATCATCTGGTGAGCCAGAGAGATGGACCCTCTGTTACTGGGGGGACTCAATTTCTCCACACTCTATGAACTATGCATTACCACTCCCAGTACAATCTAATAGGGGTTTACGTGTACTCTATCATTGGCACAGCACTCTTATCAAAAAGATAAATAAACTAACGCTTGAGTTGACCCAACACTGACACAGGAAATCTTCCTGGAGTTGAGAGAGAAAGAAACCCTTTAGGCAAAAAAAAAAAAGCGGGACATTTATGGTTTACCCAAAAGTGTTCTCCTTCTGTTCTCTCAACTCTGGGTGACCACTGCACAGTTGGGGAAAGGCGGCGAAAACCAACATGACCGCCCCCAACTCGTCAACAACTGCAGTAGACATCGGTTTGCTTCGACGGATCGCTTTCATTACTCCCACGTTGTTTGAACGGCTGCGATGTCAGTCGGGAGAGAAGTCTAGTAACCAATTAAAGACGAGACAAAACCGTCAGTCGGGTGCCGGTGACGGTCCCCTTTTGATATCCTTTTTGAAACAAATATCAGATATCAGCCATTTTAAGGAGCTGCACCTGCCTTTTTTTAATTTGCCCCTAATAATTGTAGCTCCGAGAACTCAGCCGAGCTTTCCAATTAAAACCTACGCTGGCTCCTTGACGGCGGTCGCAATAATAACACCCCCGCAGCATTAGAGAGGCTGAAACTGACAGGTGAGTCCCCCGGATGAATTAAACATGAGGTGGGTGGCGGCGGTGAGAAGAGGAAAAGCCTCAGACAGAAGTTGGCTTTGGAGGGGAGGAGGAGAGGGTATTCTAGGCTTGTAGCATGCTCAATGTAATTTACATATTAATCTCTTGCCGTTCAGCCTTATCGAGCGCTCGGCCCACTCTTGGTGAAGTCTCCGAAGCTAAAATAGCAGTGACAGGCGAGGGTGTGCTTCATTTTCCCCAGGATTTATGACTTGTGTAATTTAGGATATTTTATTAATACGCTCAGACGATTGATCCCCCCCGTCGCTCTGTGTGTGGAATAATCTTAATGGTTCCAGATGGCGCCTGGCTCACTGATTATGGAAAATGACTTCTTCTCTTTCTCCTCTTTGAGTTATATATATTTTTTCTTCTCTTCCGTTTTTTTTTATTGAGTTTCATTCTATCGACCCCCAAGTTTGAGTTCACTATTACACAGTGAAAAGGATCACCATTTTGATAGTTAAGGTTTTCAGTCAAATCCATCCAGATATTTGGGAGCATAGAATGGAGAAATAGAAACAAATTACATACCAAATGTATACATTTTAGCAGCACCGTGGGCTCTACGCTTCTTATCCCAACACATCCCCAACTCTTGGTCTCAAATCCCCAACTCTTGGTCTCAAATCCACATATCTTGGTCTCAAATCCCCAACTCTTGGTCTCAAATCCCCAACTCTTGGTCTCAAATCCCCAACTCTTGGTCTCAAATCCCCAACTCTTGGTCTCAAATCCCCAACTCTTGGTCTCAAATCCCCAACTCTTGGTCTCAAATCCACATATCTTGGTCTCAAATCCCCAACTCTTGGTCTCAAATCCACATATCTTGGTCTCAAATCCACATATCTTGGTCTCAAATCCACCTCTTGGTTTTACACTTTATTAGTCAAAGAGCACAAGTAGTCAACAAGCTACATGACACAACCCAGATGTACCACTACAGGTCACCTTCAGTTCAGTAGATGTACCACTACAGGTCACCTTCAGTTCAGTAGATGTACCACTACAGGTCACCTTCAGTTCAGTAGATGTACCACTACAGGTCACCTTCAGTTCAGTAGATGTACCACTACAGGTCACCTTCAGTTCAGTAGATGTACCACTACAGGTCACCTTCAGTTCAGTAGATGTACCACTACAGGTCACCTTCAGTTCAGTAGATGTACCACTACAGGTCACGTTCAGTTCAGTAGATGTACCACTACAGGTCACCTTCAGTTCAGTATCTCCCATAACCCCCTGTCTGGGGTTGCAAAATTCAAGTAACTTTCCAAAAATTCTGGTTTACCAGAAATCCTGGTTGCGTTGGAGAATTCCTGTATTTCTTGCTTATTCTCTCGTAATTTCAGTAATCTTCCAACCCGAATTTCTGGAAAACCGTGGAATTTTGGGAAAGTTATCGGAATTTTGAAACCCTACCCCTGTCGCAACACACGGCCTGAGGAGACAGTGACACACTGTCCATCCACCCCAAACTATGAAGGAGTGTTGTCCTGCTCTATATCCCCGGCTAATTACAACCAGATGAAATTATGCCCTCCACATCCAAGCCATTAAATACATTTTTATAAAGATTCATCATCCCAATGTCCCTTAAAGATCCTCTAATGGCTCCGCGGGTTATTTAAGTAAGTTATTAATGAGCTTCTAATGCTCTGCTTGAAGGAAGTGTCCTTCCCTTGTCTCCTCTCCTTCGTTGATCTGGGGGGGGTTCTATGCCCTACAGAGTTTTTAAGGTTTGTTAGGAAGGACGAGGCACTAGACAAGGAGGTCGAAGGACATGGCCAAATCAGTTTTTTTTGTTTGGATGAAAATTATTTACGTTTGTATTATATTGGAGGAGTAACATGATACGAATCAACAATTGACCTGCGCCAGCTTTTCACGCGTCAACAGGTTTAAAAGGGATTGTTGAAAGCATTTGCGCTCTTTCATTGGAGGATTCTCTCCCTCTCTTCACCCCATCCTCACCTCCAACCCGTGGCCTGCACCCATGTCATCTGTACAGGATTTTAAAATAAAGATTTCAATTTCGGAAGTGTGACAAATGCAATCGTTTACATAGTTCATGGTTGGAAGGCCTGTCATTTGAATGTGGTCAAGGCTGCAGACCACATTTGGGAGGTTGTAATTACCACTTTACTCCAGCATCTGGACGTCTTGAATTTAACACACACCCTGTTTATACTAATTCAGCTGAACCAAAAGCCTGAAACTGGGGTCAAACTGACAATGGGGTCAAACTGACACGGTCAGTGCTATCCGGGATTCCTTTTGGACGTCCTTAACCCATAACCATTATCCAACCCTTAACCATTTTAAATCTATACTTAAATGGGGTGGGAACGTCCCAGCGATCCCGGATAGCACGAACCAAACTGACACTGGGGTAAAACTGACACTTTATCAAAGAAAACTATGCAGGCCGAGGTTTTTTGTTATTGAACGATCATCGTGGTCCCTCCCACGTGATAGCTAAGCCCTCATGCCTCAAGACCAGGAATTTGACCTTGTAGCAAAATGGCTATTTCTATTGAATCTAGTGTATAATAAAAATGTATTGGAACTTGAGGTTAATTAGCAATAAGGCAACAGACCCAGTGGCCTCGACGGAACCTTCTGACAGAGGGTTTTAGGTATTTTATAATACATCATTTAGCGGGTGCTTATAGTTGTCGTTCTTGCGTATCCCAACTTCCCCCCCTGGTACACCCGCAGGGAGTGAGGTCACAGCCAGGGTCACCATTATACAGCGCCGCCTTGTCGGCTCCGGGATTCAAACCAGAAACCTTTCGGTTACTGGCCCAACGCGCTAACCTCGAGGCCAGCCATTTGGTATCTGTGGTGTAATGAGTCTTCTGTGTCTCTTTCAGCAATGGATGGAGTGCCTTTCATGATCTCTGAGAAGTTTGCCTGCGCTTCCGATGATGTGAGTCCGTCTTTCGGTTGGTTCACTCACAAAATGAAATCTTTGACTGTTGAGCACCATTTGTTTTTAATAAAATGCAACGGGCAATATTCACGTCCTGTCGGCCATCTGTATTTTCAGCTGCAGCAGGTGGATCTGATGGGCATCACAATCAAGTCCCTGACAGAGATTGAGAAAGAGGTGAGTGCACAGTCTCGCCCAAGGCTAACGCATACTAGCCTGGTTCCAGATCTGTTTGTGCCGTCTTGGTGCTGTGGTCGTTGTCATGCAAGACTCCACAAACCGAGCCCGGGACCAGGCTAAACCCATACCACCATGTCCAAGACATACGACATCATCGACTGCCTTCAAAACGGGTTCCAGCATTTAATTTTTTAATTTTTTATTTTTTTTATTTAACCTTTATTTAACCAGGTAAACCAGTTGAGAACAAGTTCTCATTTACAACTGCGACCTGGCCAAGATAAAGCAAAGCAGTGCGATAAAAACAACAACACAGAGTTACATATGGGGTAAAACAAAACAAAGTCAAAAATACAACAGAAATACATATATATACAGTGTGTGCAAATGTAGCAAGTTATGGAGGTAAGGCAATAATAATAGAGCCCGTGTGTGTTCACACTTCTGGACTTGTGTTGATTATGTAAAGGGTCTTTTACACACAGAGTTAGAGGGGCCTTTCCAGCAGAGATGAGCCCTCTCTGAATTAAACCACACCCAAGCCCCTCTCTCCCAGAGCACTGAGCATTGCCATGGGGGTGTCTATGTCCCTCTTAAAAGAGTTGAACCCTACCTAGTGTGCGAGGGCTCAGGGTAAGTCGTACTGGCTAATCCATAGCATCAGCGGAATGGAGGGAACCCAGAGAAAATGAGTTAAATAAGTGTGGAGAGGAGGTACATAGCCTATTTTGTTAGTGCTTTGTGAAGGCAGCATTTTCAGTTACAGTTGCAATGTTGTGTGAAGAAGTGACTACTGTATTTCTCCATCTGTCCACTAGAGGCCTGTATTGGCCCTTTTTCGCCCTCTACTCTGAGAAGTTTGTCTGTTGAAGGGTGGTATATTAATGGACTGATGCTGATGCTATTCGATATGCAGTAATTAAGGGGAGACATTTTGAGGGAATTAAAATGCATGTTCCAGTGATGAGAATGGATCCTGTAATCATATACAGTAGCCAATAATATTTTTGGGACGGGTGCTACATGGTTTTCTCCCCTCATCGCTTCAGATGGTGTCGGTTCCAGCCATTAAGCAAGGCTCCCATTTCCCCAATGACTAGAGGAACTTGCGAACATAGTAATTGGTTCTAGCCACGCATATCTAATTTGTGTCTCTTTTAAGTGTTGATTAGCCTGCAATTTGCGCTGACGTCTTCATCCTGTGGTGGAGTGGCAACAGGAGAGATGAGGGAGATGATGGATGAGGGTGGAGATGATGAAGATGGGAGGATGAGGAGTGATGGAAAGAGATGGGTGAAGGGGAGTTAAGAGGTAAGAGGGATGGTGATGGGAGAATGAGAGGATGAGAGAGGATTGAGGGAATCGAATGGATTGGAAGAGGAGGATGGGAGGTGGAAAGAGGATGAGGGAGATGATGGAAAGAGGATGAGGGAGAGAGGAAGAGGATGGGATGTGAAAGAGGATGAGGGAGATTTATGGAAAGAGGATGAGGGAGATGATGAGAGGATGGTGGATGGAAAGGGATGGATGAGGGAGATGATGGATAAGAGGATGAGGGAGTGATGGAAGAGGGTTGGCAGAGGAGGGATGATGGAAAGAGGATGAGGGAGAGATGGAAAGAGGATGAGGGAGATGATGGAAAGAGGATGAGGGAGATGTGGAAAGAGGATGAGGGAGATGATGGAAAGAGGATGAGGGAGATGATGAGGACGAGGGTAGGAGCGGGAGGTGATGGACGAGTGGCAAAGAGGATGGAGGGGTGTGAAGAGGATGAGGGCTGGAGAGGGTGGAAAGAGGGATTTAGGGAGGGTTGCAGGGATGCAAGAGGTGAGGGTCATGGGTGGACGATGGTGGGGATGAGGCTGAGGAGGAGGATTGGCCCGGAGCGGGCGATGTGGAACAGGCTGGGGAGCGTGGACGAGGATGAGGAAGATGCGAAATAGGATGGGCGAATGAGAGGATGCGGGATGGCAATCAGATCGAGGGAAGATGGCCAAGAGGACTGAGGGACTCCATGGTGAACGGATGCGCGATGATGAAGAGGATGGGGAGGTGTGGAAAGAGATGACGGAATGATGGAAAGAGGATGAGGGAGGCATGGGATAGGAAGACCTGACCGTGAGAGCTGGAAGACGACGTTGAGGGATAGGGAGATGGAAAAAGGACTGAGGGAGATGATGGAAAGAGGATGAGGATGATGGAACAGAGGTGGTTTAGGGGGATGAGGACGTGGACTAGGGAGATTGAGAGGATGGGGGATGATGGCCCGGTTGAAGGAGATGAGCGGAGAGATGGGTTTAGGGATGGGAGCGATGGAGATGCGCGAGAGGATGGGGAAGTATGGGAATGATGGGAGTGAGGGAGATGATGGAAAGAGGATGAGGAGGATGATGGAAAGAGGGAGATGATGGAGAGGATGGAAAAGTGCAGGGATGAGGGAGATGATGGAAAGAGGATGAGGGAGAGATGGAAAGAGGATGAGGGAGAGAATGATGGAAAGAGGATGAGGGAGATGATGGAAAGAGGATGAGGGAGAGTGGAAGAGGTAGGAAGGATGAGGGAGATGAGGAGGACAGATATGAGGAGAATGTGAAAGAGGGAGGAGAGAGAGGGAGAAAGAGAGGGAGAGATGGAAAGAGGATGAGGGAGGATGGAAAAGGAGGGGGTGAGGGAGGATGGAAAAGGGTAGAGAGGAAAAGGAGAGGGAGAGAGAGGAGGAAGGGAGGAGGGGAGAATGATGGAAAGAGGATGAGGGAGAGGAGGGAAAGAGGAAGGGGGGAGGGGAGGAAAAAGAGGGTAGGAAAGGATGAGGGGGGGATGAAAGGTGAGGGAGAGATGGAAAGAGGAGGGGGGGAGATGGAGATGAGGAAAAGGAAGAGGATGAGGGAGGGGATGGAAAGAGGAGGGGGAAAAGGGTGAGGGAGAGAGGAAAAGAGGATGAGGGAGAGATGGAAAAGGAAAGAGGGTGGGGGAGGGAGAGATGGAAAGAGGATAGGGAGAAGAAAGGAAAGGGGGAGGGGATGGAAGAGGGTGGGGAGAGGGAAGGAAAGAGGATGAGGGAGGATGGATGGAAGAGGAGAAGAGATGGAAGAGGATGAGGGAGATGATGGAAAGAGGATGAGGAGTGTGGAAAGAGGATGGGTGTGGAGAGGAGTGGAGAGAGATGGCGTGAGGGAGGATGGAAGAGGAGAGGGGAGAGATGGCGAAGGGGGATTGAGGAGGATGGAAAGAGGATGAGGGAGATGATGGAAAGAGGATGAGGGAGAGATGGAAAGAGGATGGAGGGAGCAGAGGGAACGAGGAGAGGGGCTGATGGCAAGAGGATGAGGGAGAGAGGAAGAGGAGCTGAGGGAGAGATGGAAATAGGGAGGGCGGTCCGGCTGAGGGATGGAAAGCGGTGAGGCGCAGACTGCCCGAGAGCATGAGGGGAGTGGAAACGAGGATGAGGGATGAGGAACGGATGAGGGAGGAGTGCCCGGGGCTGGACGGGCTGACGGAGGGTGGGAGGATGGACAGAAAACGGATGGGAGAGGGAAAGAGGATGAGGCGAAGGGACTGAGGAGAGATGGGAGGGAGTGAGGGAGAGATGGAAGAGGATGAGGGAGAGATGGAAAGAGGATGAGGGAGAGATGGAAAGAGAAACAGACATACAAAAAACTAATGTCTTAAAACCTGGAATGTCGACGACGCTGAATGTCGTAGTACACAGTGACAACAGCAGGGGTCTAGGCTGGTGGTTTTAGCCAGTTGTCATGACAACAAATGAACATGGCAGAGAAATAATATTTGCTAAACCACGTACCGATCGGGCCAGGTTAGCCTCATTTGTGACAATAGATCGGAATAGGTTAACCTTAGTTGAGACAATAATCCTTGTTTAAGTAAGGTAAAAAAATTAAATAAAAAGCCCAAAAAGCGCCAAAATACAAGATGCTTCATTGAATCTTGCTCATCTGGCAGGTCTGCTATTGTACCATACAATGTGTTGTATGTGTGTCGGTTCTCTGCAATCGCTTTTCAAGCCATGAATGGGTGCGGTGGGAATACTGTAACGTCTGCTTGTTTTACGGTAATCCTGTGGTATGGAGGAGATCCCTCAACTAGCAGTCACACAGAATCACCTAGTGCCCTGGTTTCTTACCACACAACAAATCAACTGAAATCATTTCATTGAAAACTTTGATTGTAATCTCTTTGTTGACTTTTTTTGTTCCGTTTGTTGTAATAGATTATCAGGTATTACAACAAACTGTTGGCAGTCCTCTGAACCCAACACACTATTGTTCTCTCTTGATTCAGCATTTTAATAAGCGGTTGTTTTGGATTTAAATGAGTTTGATTTGATTCCAGACCTCAAACCTATATCAGAGCCAGTGGGGAAACTACATTTTACTTTTGTGGTGGATATAATTTGTTTTGGCTTGTGCTGGGTTTAGCCACAAGGGGGAATACTTTGACCAGAAATCATGTCAGAGACTGGTAACTGGGTAAGAGACAGATGGGTGGCCCTAACTCTTTTCAAAGGTGTGTTAAACAAATGCACTAAAGATGCCTTATTATTTATGTATTTAATGTAGGCCTAATAATAGTTAATGGGGCCCCGTGTAGCTCAGTTGGTAGAGCATGGCGCTTGCAATGCCAGGGTTGTGGGTTCGATTCCCACGGGGGGCCAGAATGGGGGGGGAAAATGTATGCACTCACTTAACTGTAAGTCGCTCTGGATAAGAGCGTCTGCTAAATGACTAAAAATGTTTTTTAAAATGTTATCTTTCTTCCCCTCTCCCACATTTCCATCTCTCTCCATCTACCTCTCTTCTCTCAGTACGAGTATAGTTTCCGCACGGAGCACAGCGCAGCAGCGAGGCTGCCCCCCAGTCCCACACGGACCTCCATGGGCTCTGAGGCCTGAGCCTCCCCCCAGCCCCACACAGATCTGAGCCTCCCACTCCCCCTTCCCCCTCCTCCCCTACGGAGAGACCTGAGCCCCCCCCCCCCCCCTCCCGGAGAGACCTGAGGAGAGACTCAGACACTACTACTGAGAACCAGCCCACACAAACCAAGCCAGGGAGAGATAGAGATAGAGAGGAAACTAGGTCTCCCTCTCTCCCTTCGGCCTGCTTCCCTCCACTCCTCCCTGCTTCCCTTCACACCTCCCTGCTTCCCTCCACTCCTCCCTGCCTCCCTCCACTCCTCCCTGCCTCCCTCCACACCTCCCTGCCTCTCTCCACTCCTCCATGCCTCCCTCCACTCCGCCCTGCTTGCCTCCCTCCACACCTCCCTCCCTCCCTCCACACCTCCCTCCCTCCACTCCTCCCTGCCTCCCTCCACTCCTCCCTGCCTCCCTCCACTCCTCCCTGCCTCCCTCCACTCTTCCATCCACTCCTCCCTGCCTCCCTCCACTCCTCCCTGCCCTCCCCTCCACTCCTCCCTGCCTCCCTCCACTCTTCCATCCACTCCTCCATGCCTCCCTCCACTCTTCCATCCACTCCTCCATGCCTCCCTCCACTCTTCCATCCACTCCTCCCTGCCTCCCTCCACTCCTCCCTGCCTCCCTCCACTCTTCCATCCACTCCTCCATGCCTCCCTCCACTCTCCACTCTTCCATCCACTCCTCCATGCCTCCCTCCACTCCTCCACTCTTCCATCCACTCTCTCATGCTGCCCTCCACTCCTCCCAAACAAAACAATACTCTCATTGAGACAGCTGGAGATGGTCCTTTTTATTTAGCTTGGTCCACTGTCCAAATGGATGGTGCTTTTTATTTAGCTTGGTCCACTGTCCAAATGGATGGTGCTTTTATTTTGAAAAAGAACAAATTAGAACAAACTCCTTTGGTCGCCCCGTTGTTTCTTTTTTGTTTTGAAAGTTCAGTACTGCTTATTGGAAGAAGACCCAGTACAAGACAAAGGGAAGGAAGGAACCACTACATGATAAAGGGACCCGTTGACGCATTAAGGTTTTCACAGACATGTGGTAGAGACGAGCTCCAGTGTGCATTCGGGATGGGAAAGACTTGGGGTCAAAACAACCTTATGGTGGTCTGATTTGGTGGTGAAGGGGGAAGAGTGCCAGGCCTGCCCATTCACCCCATGAACCATCGTGACAGAGGAACCAGTTTAGTCTAGAAAGGCCTTTTAAAGTTCGGTACCTACTGAGGCACCCACAGAGACTTGTATTTGTTGGAACAAACGGTGATCTAAAATACCCTATTGGATACAAACAGTGCACAACCCACTGGTCTGGACTTTGTTCCAATGGTCGTCTGTGGATATTTCTGCATCAACGAGCAGTTTCCCCCCTCCACCTTCTCCCTGTACACTAGATGCAAGCCCAGGGAGAGGAGAAGTCAGCTTACATTGTGTTACTGTAAAATAAATGTCCCCAACAATATTGATTTGGACAGTTCACAAACTGCTTTGCAGCGTTGAGAATGTTCTGTTCTCATCATTCTATGTGAGTGTTATTTAGTCATTTCAGTGTTCTTACTCTTTTCCTCAGCTATTCTGTCGAGTTTCAACCACTCCATCAATGTTCTTTCTGGTCTGAGACACTCCTTGGATTAAAAGCAGAACCACTAGTAATGGACTGTTACCGTGGGTGATGTCTTGCCATTGCCCACTGGGAAGATAGCTGGACAACACACCACTATGTATTTTTTATTTTTTTTTCAAAGCCAGATGTTTCGTCTGTTACCAGTTTCACTGTGGCTTACTCAGTCTTTTGTCATAGTTGTAGTATTTTTTTATCTTTAAAGCTGTATTTTCTATTTCTCGCAGAATGAGTTTGACAGAAACCTACTGCTTTGTTTATAAGGAGCCAGTTACCAATAAGAGTCAGGTTACAATGGGCAGCATTGTGATAGTATTCATTTGCCACTTTCATTTTCTTAATGAACAAAATAGATTTTTAATGTTTTAATTACATGTATAATATTTGCTTTGAACTAAATGTGATGTTCTTGTATCAAGAAGAACACACTTGATAATTTGGGCTCAAGTAACAATGTATTTTGTTTCAGTGTTTCACGCATAAGCTGATATGTGGTCTTCTAAACAGTAAATGCTTTTTTTTTTGTATTGTCATAAAAAACGAATTGTTGTAATTTAATAAAATATTCCTGATGTTTTGCCTGTCCACTGGCATATAGGGGGGGGGGTGCTATAACTAATAACACCCTCACCTCCTCAGAACACCGACACTATTCCCTTTAAACCTCTGGGTTGTGTTCACCATATCAAAATGTTTTGCAACAGGAAACCGAAAGCTGTGTTCAGTTTAGTACCTTCGGTTTGAAAACGTTTTCTCTCTGTTGAACACGACCCAGCTCACACACTCCAAACTATCAGGAGACGCGCATCTTCTGCGATTAGTTTTTTCGACACTTTAGTCTGGTACCCAGAGTTTTTTGTTGTTGTTGTTGTTGTTGTTGTCTTATTGCCTCAACTGTGTTACAACAAACTGTGATCAAACCACTAATTGATATTACTTTTAGTTTATTTGCTGTCGCTTGTCATTCTTGCTGTTAGGTCTTTTACCCACACATGCTTGATATTAATGGTATTAATATTGAGAACGTTTTTAGGTTGTTGTTTTTTTGTACCACAGTATTGTCTTAAATGGTATCCAGGGTTGCACCTTTTCAACATAAGCTTTTTAAACACTGCCTTGAAAATGTCAACTCTGGTCAACCTTTCTAGCATTCCTGGTACTGATTATATTCTATCACTGTCGTTTTAAGCAGTAAAAGTTTCAGCAGCATTTGTTGAGCTTTTAGGAATTCAATTTCATACATCTTTCTATGCTTGGCAGATATTGTTTCCTTAGAACATCTCTTGGGAACAATTAGGAAGGAATTAGTTAATCAGCTCTTTATTTTCTGTTTGTCTTAATTCCTAATTTAAGCTAAGAAGTATTCTGATCCTTTTCTCACCCAAAATAATTGACCATTACATATCAGTGTTGTATTTTTTCTGAAAATTGAAATGGTCAATTCAATGTCAAATGTGACATTAAAAAAAAAAAGAGATCCATTTTCTTATTGCACTGCCCTATATATTGGAATCATGATAGTAGATTAGTTAGTTCAACTAGACCAAATGTCCATACAAAACATATGCTTGCAACACTTCCATGCCCATGTTACTGCTTGCTACAACCTGTTTTGTTCTGCCTGCGTCATGGTAAACTAACCTACATCTGTACTCCTACATCTGAACAGTGGTGTGTAAATATCTTCAGATGGTCATGATAAAAATTACATTGTTGTTAACTAATATGATTTGTCTGTGTATTAACATTTTAATAATACTGTTTATTTCAGAGAGGTCAGGTTTTCAGTCCTGCATTGTTTTCAATATGGACTCCTTTTAAACCAACCATGGATTACTTCCAACCATGAGATATACTGTCCAACAAGCTGTAGCTCAGCTGTGATTTGTAGATTTTTTTTATTGTTGTTTTGATTGCAACTTCTCTCCTGGATGGAGTTTGGGTTATCCTACTTTGAATGAGGCTCATCCCACCAGTAAACAAAACTTATTTGACGACGGGAAGCTAACACCATCATATTATCAGTTAAATCCTCAAATTATTAAAAACTAACAATCAACCGACCCAAACAACAGCTCCGTGCTACCGGAGTTAGAGCCTATACAACTGATGTTTCGTTTTTCTTCCGAGAACTCTTAATTTGTAAATGCTTGTAAATTAATTATGGCTCTGAGGATCCTGTGGTTGATAACTGATGTTTAAAGGTCGATTTTGGGCAAAAACGCAAAAAAATAACGTATTTAAACTGTATAACTGATCAATGCACCATTACACCAGGTCATTTAATGCTTAAACAAATGGATGAATAAGATATTTGGATACAGAAGTGGCATTTCCTACCGATCTCTACAGCTTCCGTCCAAAAACAAATCCTGTGAAATGACGTCAACACATACTGGAGGAGTTATTGACTAGCTACAAGTGGCTAGCTTAGCTAACGAACTAGCTACGTTTGTCGCGGAGCGCATGACCAGAATGACACATCGACGAACCACCAAAGGCACACACTAGAAAATTGAGAAATAGGCGGAGTTTACATTTACATTTTACATTTTAGTCATTTAGCAGATGCTCTTATCCAGAGCGACTTACAGGAGCAATTAGGGTTAAGTGCCTTGCTTAAGGGCACATCGACAGATTTTTCACCTAGTCGGCTCGGGGATTAGAACCAGCGACCTTTCGGTTACTGGCACAACGCTCTTACCCACTAAGCTACCTGCCGCCCGAAAATTGAGAAATAGGCGGAGTTGGACCGTTTTTCATGCCCAAAGTCAGCCTTTAAAGACAAAACCTTGTCTCCCAGGTTCAAAGCCTACTCTGTTATGGTGTCAGACAGTTCAAATCAATATGGGTCCATTAGTGTGGCTGTCATTTTGTATTTATTATCGTGTGTTTGCACGTGTTTTTTGTTTGTGTGACACGGAGCACCAACCAAACTACTGGTGACTAATCCACAGGAGCAATGTTTATTTCCCGTTTCTCAGAAGCGTTCTAAATTGGATTCATTTCAACCCACTGCCTCTTCAATACTTCTTCGTTCTATAAATGTTATTTTAGTTTTTTTTGGTGGTCAGGTTCGCTCCCTCAATCATTAGTTATCCGGCAGTGTGCAAACATGCGGGTTCTCTCATCTCAGTGCCACCCCAGTCGTTTTAATGACGACTAGTAAAACAACAGAGAGAGACTTCTTAACTAGCTACTTCAAAACCCACAAGTTACTTTCCTCTCAAGATGTGTAGGCAACAGAAATCTGGCACGCACATCCCACTGTCACCAAATTGTACCTGTAACGGAAGCGTTCGGGGAAGCAATCTGTCCTTTCCTTGGATATTGGCTACTTTTGATCCCATTTTTTTAAATTAGATACTTAACATCTTATTAAGAAAT